GGACATACAGAAAGCACAGAAAGCATCAAAGCCAAAAAAAACAACAAAACCAATTGTTGGTGGAACTATGGTGGCTGCTGAAAAAATTGGTTTTTTGGTTTTCCTAGGAAAAGGTTGGTTTTTGCAATGCACGGCCTTCAATTTTGTTGGAAAACCAACTTTTTCCTAAGAAAAAGTTGGTTTTGGGAGCTCAGGCCTTTGAAAAACCAACTTTTTCCTAAGGAAAAGTTGGTTTTTCTTGGTAAAGCCAACTTTTTCCTAGGAAAACCAAAAAAACCAATTTTTTCAGCAGCCACCATAGTTCCACCAAACGTTGGTTTTGTTGTTTTTTGGTTTTCCTTAGTTTTTGGTCAGTCCAACAGAGAAGGGACCTCAGAAGAGAATCATTATACTTGAAGGATTCCAAAACTTCGGTATTCAATCTAATTAGTTGTATATAGAGGCCTTATATAAACAAGCATCCAGTATTACAGGGATTTTCGTATTAATTCTAATTAAATTCCATAAGGGGTTCAAATGAACCAGAATCCATTCCAAAGAATCTAAGATTCCACGATTTTCGTTTTAGATCTAATTGAATTTAATACGGGATTTATATGAACAGTGGCTTCTGGTTTATTTAATTCCCTTATTAAATGAAATGGAAAATAGAAAAGGACATACAGAAAGCACAGAAAGCATCAAAACCAAAAAAAACAACAAAACCAATTGTTGGTGGAACTATGGTGGCTGCTGAAAAAATGTTTTTTTTTGGTTTTCCTAGGAAAAGGTTGGTTTTTGCAATGCATGGCCTTCAATTTTGTTGGAAAACCAACTTTTTCCTAAGAAAAAGTTGGTTTTGGGAGCTCAGGCCTTTGAAAAACCAACTTTTTCCTAAGGAAAAGTTGGTTTTTCTTGGTAAAACCAACTTTTTCCTAGGAAAACCCAAAGAAAACAATTTTTTCAGCAGCCACCATAGTTCCAGCAAAAGTTGGTTTTGTTGTTTTTTTGGTTTTGGTGCTTTCTGTGCTTTCTGTATGTCCTTTTCTATTTTCCATTTCATTTAATAAGGGAATTAAATAAACCAGAAGCCACTGTTCATATAAATCCCGTATTAAATTCAATTAGATCTAAAACGAAAATCGTGGAATCTTAGATTCTTTGGAATGGATTCTGGTTCATTTGAACCCCTTATGGAATTTAATTAGAATTAATACGAAAATCCCTGTAATACTGGATGCTTGTTTATATAAGGCCTCTATATACAACTAATTAGATTGAATACCGAAGTTTTGGAATCCTTCAGGACCACATCCAAAACCAGCAATCCACGACTCCAGGATTCCTACATGAACATATTCAATCCAAAATTCCCCTATCAAATCTAATAAACTTTAATTGGAATTTGTCTGGCTTTTCAATCAGATGGAGAACCCATGTATCCAGGATTCCAGGATCCTGTGTTTCAACGAAGGGACCGCATATATGTACATGAACGAAACTGAGATAGGATTTTCACCAAAAAAAACCTCTTCGGTGGATCATGGGGGTGTGTGTGAGCATATATATATATAACTATTAGAAAGTGCCTTGTCCCACGTAGTAATGATAATTAGGTGTTCTACCAAGAAAGCTTTTGGATATTATTTAGTAAAGAACATCACTAGACATGGGAAGCAAGTTTATATACATCCAGTTTAATACTTCAGGGAGATTGACTACTTTGTTCATTTTACTCTATTTGGCATGGGCCAGGTAGACACACTATGATCTATGGCGTTTCCGTTGGGTTCTCATGAAGTACAGGATTCCTGTGGAATCCACCTGTATCATAATGGAGAAGATGTGGGGATCCTCATTCAAGCTGATTGCTAGAGACGCAGTAATACAGTACAAATCTCTATGAGTGAGAATGTTTGTATATTCATTCACAATGGCTAGAAAGTCAATTGAAAATAGTTGACAGCCACACAAAACTGAGGCCACAAGAGCGTTCCACTGTCCATGAAATCAAGTACAAGCTGAACAATCTGCGTGCAGTGGATGTGAAGAGCTTGCTTGATTGCTTCGCCCAGGACAACCCGAGCATAGCTGACAAAAAGGTCCCTAGTGAACATCCGCTCAGTTCGAGAGACCGTAGCTCCCAAACAGGTTCATCGGGTTCCGACAGATCTCAAGTAGGCAAATGCTCTCACGAAGCTGGGCCACCCGCTCCGCCAGAAGTTCGGTGTGCAGCTTCAAAACTCTTGGGTGCAACTCAGGGAAGTGCGTCGGCCAGAATTGCACCAGTGTGACTTCTAGGAGTCTACTCATGAGAGCGTATGAGCCTGCTTCCCCGAAAGCGTTTGGCTTACTCGGCTTACTCTTGCCTTAGACGGCTGCGGCTGCTGAGCCCTAGATCTCCCGCAGCTGAGTGAAAATGACGCCATTCTGATCCCGCTGTGTGCTCTGTTCTTTGAACGTGTGCTAGTGTGGGATAAACACGAACCCATGTCACGTCTAATAGCGAATCCGCATCAACAATTGTCACATTTTTCAATAGTTTGCAATTCGTGGGCGGCTGCGCCCCCCCCGCCAACGCCTGGTTAACATGTGGACACGTCTTGCGCACTAGAGTGGCGCGCCCGCGAGCCCGCAAAGGGCACCGCGACTACGGCCATGGGAGACGCAACCCAAACCTCAACCTGGCAACGAAGGAAGCTGATACAAAACGACCCCGCGTAGGTGTATGTGAGGATACATAGGGTGGAAGGCCTGAAAAACCAGGGTTCCTTGATACTTGTTTTAGGTTTCCCCGGCCCACTAATATTTTTTGCAATCCATTGGATACCTCCAACTGTGCCACGGTGCAATGTGCAATACTTCCACGTGTTTTCTAAATCCCAAATGATTTTGTGTCATTCCAATGCTGCGTTTTCTACCATGAAAGCCACGATGGCATCCCAGGTACAATCGTTCCAGAATTCGAGCTGTAAACAGAAATGTTTCCGGTGTTCCGGGTGCTGCAACCGCTACAATTTGCAACATTTCAGTCACTCCAAGCCTGCGAATGCTTCAATTGCCAATACTTTTGTATGTTTTTCCCAGCATTGTGTTTGTTGACATTCCAAAATTTCCGAGTCCTGTAACCTGCAGTATTTACAAGGTGCTACAGCATTTGCAACTTGCAACATTTTAGTCCTTCCAAAACCTGCGTGCTGTACTTGGCAGGTTGTTAAAGTTTCTGACAAATGCAAGGGTTGTTTTTCGTCATGGAATTGCGATTTTTTCATCCTTCCCATGTTCGCCACCATTCTTTGATCTTGTTTGTTACTTATGTTGAGCAGCTTTAGGTGTGTTTTACCTTCCAGCCTGATTTATTCAATCACTGCGGGTGTCCGGCCGTCTTGAGCACGTATGCTTTCGCTCTTTTTGTGGCCATCGCAAAAACTTCAAGGCGACACAAAACTCTTCACTTCATCCCCCAGGTCTTGATGGAAAGCAACCTAGAATTTGCGGGATGCTTACGTTTTGAACAGAAGTGGAAGCCCCCAGGCAAAAAGAGCTTGCAAAACCCAACGGAATTGGGTGGTCAGCAGCTCCACAACTGCATCGCGTCAGACAAAAACGTTTTTCATATCAGATGCCAATTGGCTAAAGAAGCTTCAACTGTGGCACTTTTTGAAAATGCAGAGTGCAAGGTGGCATGCTGCGCAGTATCAGTGCCCGGCTATATACGCTGCAGGCCAAACTGACTTTGTTGCTGATGCGCATGTGATCAGATTTGGGCGAGGGTGTGAAAGAGATGGATTTGCCTGTGCGCTGGAGTGCGCAGGGGTCTGGTGCTCACTTTGGCATCTTGTTGCAGGATGCCATCTCACGTTTCGAGATGCGCGCTTAGAGTCTGAGGTATTATTCCGCGGCTTGGACACCGCTCCCCCCAGATCCCATCTACAACGATGATGTGAGCACTGGTCGATACTATCGGCAGCTTGTCCACAAACATGCACAGCAAAGTTGGTCGTGACTTCTTCAGGCCAAGGCTAGCTTCAGGTAAGGTTGGCTTCGTGCATCCAAGGCAGCTGATTGTCTTGCTTGATGGGAATCAGATTCAAAACTCACCCATGTCAGTTGCAAGCTCAGAGACACACATGCGGCGGATAGCCATGTGTTGGCATGGCGCGCAGTCACATGCTTAGTGGATGCTTGGTGGTCTAGGTGGAAATCTTGCTGGCCGTGTCAGACGAAGAGCAGTCCTTTGTAGAAGCAGGCGCAGCCTTGCAGTCGATTGAGACCCGAATCGCTGTCCATTGCAGGAGACTACACGCCTGCGCAGGCTGAAAGAGAGGGGAACGGGAGCGAAAGAGAGAGGAACAGAACTGGGAACTGAAGCCTATCCTTTGTTGCTTAGGCGGGTGAGCCCGTGTGGTTCCAGCTCCGCTCGGCCACGCTGGCGGGCCGGCTCCGGGTGACCGGCGGGGACCGCTACGAGGTCTACTTCGAGGCGCCAGAAAGTCGAACTTCTCGAACATTCGTTTTACTTTCTTTCGACAGCTTGCTACAGCCTTGGAATTACGTCGTGTTTTTGCCGCCTTTTCGAAGGGCCCTTCGCATGACCCCCTGCAAGTGGAGGACCAGTTTCGCGGCCTCTTCCTTTAAGGGCCCGTCAAAGTCCGAGAACAGCTGGAACTGCGAGTGAGCCACTGAGGCAGCGTGATCGACAACTTCAACGGCTCGTACACGGTGAGGTTTGAGATTCAGAGGCCACGAGCGTGGAGTGAGTGAGTTTCTTCTGTCTGCGCCCCTTCTTCTTCTTTCTGCTTTTCGCTCCGCGCTTTCCACCGCATTGGCTTTCTGCGCCAGGCCCGGACGGTACAGGATGCGGATCTTCCTGAACGGCAAGGAGTCCGGAGCCCAAGAAAAGGGAGCTGAGAGGAGAGAGGAGAGGAGCGAAAATTGATGAGAAGGGAGAAGTAGGGAGAAGTGCTTATTTCTTTGCTTTGTCTGAGGATTGGACCCTCCAAGCTGGCGGGTTCACCCTATCGCAACCTTCTGTGCGCATAGCTGCAACAAGAAACTTCCAGAGACATGGATGCAGACGTGCAGTGCACTACTTTTCTTAGGATTTGGGACGAGATCAGTGCAGAGCTGTCCACTGCCATTGGACCAGGCTCAGTCCCTCTCTCCACCTCCGCCTCTATTTCTTTCTCTCCTTGAGGCATCAGCCCAATGTCCCCGGGGAGTCCGGCAAGCATCGTCGCAGGCCACCTCACGTTGACAACGTGTTCTGCAGAGTGCGACTGGTCTAGCAAGAGGCGTAGGCCGTAGAAGCTGCCACTTTCAGGTGTGAATACGACCTTTGCCGCTTGGACGCTAAATGAATTGGTGGAGCAAGAGACTCCTGCGTGCAAGCTCAGGAGATCAGCGCAAAAGATTCCTACGAGGTAGGCAAAACCGGGATTGAAGAGTCGCCACAGTGAGTCTGAGAGACGATTCCTCCCCAAGGTGCAGTACTTTGAAGGCGGTGCGAGCTTTGAGCTGAGCACGCCTGCAATGTCTGCCCGGCAAGTCCCTGCATGTAGCGCGGTATGTAGGCGTTTCGAACACGGACTTCTGCCAGGCATCAGGCACCGGCCCTCAACCAGACACATGCTGGCTACGCGCCTCCAGAGGCCTCAAGAAATCTTCTGACTGAAGGGTCAGTCTTGTCAGTCAGTTCTTTTTAAGTTTGCTGTCATCTCTGTTTTTCCGCAAGTTCTGGGGCCATGAGCCTTTTTGACCAACGACTGCAACATCGAAATGCCGTTCGAGTTTGTCATCATCAATAAGATGGCAAAACAGCTCCTAAGCAGGAGTCAAAGAAAACTCTGCCTGTGCTTGGTATTTGGAGCCAAGCTTTCTAACATTACCCTGCATTCGCAGATCAAAGTTCAACATTTCCAGGGAGCAGAGTTGGGATTGAGAAAGCATGGACAACATTGGAGCTCACGCGAGCTACTGCGTGCAATACAGCCACTTGAAAACATTTTGTCAGCAGTTGCTGTGGTACAAGTTGTTGACCTCAGGCACAAATTTGTGCAAATTCTGAAAGCGGCTTTCTTTGTCAGTCTTTGACTTGCACTTTCGGACATGCACCTGGAAGTGTCGAGGATTACGTTGACATTGTCGACAATGGAGATGGCAGCACCGCACTCAGCCTACGCGGGCTGCGGGCTGAAAGGGGAGCAGTTTTTTTGGGGGGAGCAGCTTTTTGCTTTGCTTTGCTCTGCTTTGCTCTGCTTGCGGAAGGCTACACGGTGGAGTACCGGCTCTGCAGGGCCGGCCTCACGACGGTGGACCTCCACCTCAAGGCCTGCGGCCTACAACCAGCAAAGAACCGGGAACCGCTTTGCCGAGATGCTCAAGATAAGAACGCTGAGCTTAGAGTTTTCAAACAGCAAGCTGCGAATACTGCGACTGCAACAGATACTGCAACATAAAGATGCGTTCTTTTTCTCTCACCACGTCAGTCACGTGGTGGTTTCGTCAATGCCCGGTTTCATGCGAATTCTGTGAGGTCTTTCCGTTGGCTTAGGCAGTGCCACTTTGTAGCAGGCATGTGTGAATCAGATTTGTGCTTACCATTTCTCCTTGATTCTTGCTGCGGCCGTAGTCCAGGAGGCCGTCCTAGATCAAAGCAATTGTTATTGGTGAGAGCCGTGGGCCAACTCTGCCACTTGACCGAACAACAACGGGACCGGACGAGAAGGAGAAATTATTTACTTCGACGATTCTTATCTTGCTCAGCCAATCTCCAGTGACATAAACGTTTAATGAGGCCTACTAGGGCTATAAGGGCTAAGTCTATGTCGGGTCGTTCAAGGGGGTTGTGGGGCTTACATAGGGTCCGTTGAAAGGGGTTGTAAGGGTTTTAAGCGGAGTGTCACACAGGCTATACGGGGTCTCATTTCAGAGGTTGCAAGGCCTACACTGGCTCCCTTTTAACGGGGTTATAGTAATCCTTTCGAAGGGTGGTACGGCCTATGCAGGGTCCCTTCACAGGTGTAAGAGGGCTATTTATATACTCGTAGGATCCTGAGAGATGCTAGGATACTTTGCGGTTGGACACTGCAGGGATGCTCTGCAGTTAGGCGCTGCCGGAAGGCCAGGAAATTTTCGACTTTTTGCAAAAGTTTTAGCTTTGGGGTCTTCTGCCCAAATAAGTCTCGGAGCAGATCAAAGCGGTCCTTGGAGGAGCAAGCTTCCGGGCAGTTCCCAGTTGCCGCTGGACGCTAGCTTAGTGTAGTGCAGAATCCTTTTTATGGCGCCGGTGAATGTCATCCATGTCACACGCAAGCCGGGATTGAGAGATTATCCTGCTGCCAGGGAAGGTCTCAGGTTGGGCAATTCCCGGCGCCAGGGAAGCTTGCCGGAATAAACTGGCGTCGGGAGAAGCTCTTGGCGCTGGTGAAAGTTGTCCATGTCACGCTGCAACCAGGATCGAGAAAGTATCCCGGCGCCGTGGGAACATATGTACGAACAACAGCGCAGATCGGAGCGGCCGTAGCCGGTTCAAGAGCATGTTCCAGGCATTTCCAAGATTCTGCACAGTTTTTGGAGCGAGGTTGAAGAGAGGTTCCACAGCAAGGAATAGTACGGAGCGAGGTTCTGGAGAGGTTCGAGGTTCCGCGAGGTTCCGGGGTATTCTGTGACAAATAGTAGAGCTTAAGGTTGCATTACTAAGAACAATGCCAGCTTGACAATCTGACTATCTCGGGGCGAAGCTCGACAGCTATGGAAGATTTCCTGGGATCAATGTACGTGCCCGCAAGGTCTGGAGCAAAAGCGCCTTCAATCTAGGCTTTCGTGTGGAAGTTTCTTATCCGGGATTACCGTGCACCGCGACTGGAACTTGGACGCTTCTGGCGCGGCGCTGCGTGGCCTCGTCAACAACAAAACATTTAACGGGAATGCTTGCGATGAGGTAGGCTTGCCCCAACTGTCACGGTTCCGGCGTGCGCCGGAACAACAGCTTCGAACAAACCAGAGCCTGCCCAAGCTGCCCGAAACAGCAGAACAATCAGCAACACGACCGCAGTCGACGCAACAACATTCATGTGGCGAACACGGGTTCCGTGCGATTTAGGCTGGGAGTTTGTTCCGAAAAAGTTGAAAGTTCTTGCTTTATCCAGGCTCCGGAGGGTTGGCGGCCCATCCGTGGCAGCCCTTTCCTTGTGGAGGCGAAAGGGACAAACTGAAAGCCCGGCCTCCTTCACCTAATCGGCTTTAGCTCGCCAGGTGCTGCCTGGGAAATTGCAGCCCTACACCTCCAAGGTGGAGCGCCGAAGACGGTTCTTAGCTGGGTGTGTTTTTGGTAGTTTAAGAGCCTCTTTGTATTAGTGACACAGGTTCGTCCGCCTGAAGCGCCGCGGAGTGGAATCCCCACGAGCATCAACCTGGAGCTTCGTGATGCCTGCGGTGGGGTGAACCCATCTGGCTTCTTGAAGTATCAATTGTGGCCACTCCTTGCGCAGGCAACTATGCAGATGATGATGCCATGGCCAGCACAGAGCTGAGTGAGACCAGATGAGGGCTGAATCTCAAGTCAAGCCAAGTCAAGCTGTTGGAGGCCTGGAGATCCGGCTCCTGCGCATCGAAAATGGCGCGGAGGAGGTCTCTTGCTGATTGCTTTAAGGTCTGAAACAGACTCTCGCTCCCTCCGTTTTCTTGTTTTCACCAGGCCTTGCCGTTCGAGGCTGCACAGTCTGGTCCTGGAGAGGTGCGCAGGGTTTCTTTCACGCCCTTCACCTCCTCAACTGGTGCAGGATCCCTAGCCAGGTCACCGTGTTCTTCACTGCGGGGCGTAGGGGATTGCACCAAATCATTGCTACTCGCGCGGCCCCAAGTGGCGGCGCAACTTTTTGGGTGGAATGGGGTTTGGATGTACCGTCGCAGGATCTGGTGATCACTTTCAGGCCTCACCGCTGAGCTTCCAGGTCCAATGCTTTCAGAGCCAGAGGTATGCGGGGTTTTCTCAATGTTTGAGGTGTCTCCGGCCTCGGTGCCACCAAGAGGTGACTGGCAGCTCGCGGCCATCGGTGCGCCAGCTCACAGCCAGTCTAGTTTTGAAGAGCTGAAAGGAGTTGGTTGACACTGAGGCGCATCGGCTCACTCCACTTTCCAGCACCTTGGTCCAAAAAAGGGAGTTGGGATAAAGCAAAAGGCTTTCAGTTGCTCAGGTTGTTTGGGTCGCCCAGCTTTGCTGGAGAGCCTGCAGCCCTGCAGGCAAAATGAGAGAACATGGGACCATGCAACAACTTCTGGTGACTGACATGGTGACATGGTGGTGGAGGGGTTCACGGGAAATCTTGGTCAGGTCACAGCTCGAGATTACTGGGGCGATGTGTTGACGCATGAGCCACCTCCTCAGCCCTCAGACAAAAGAAACAACAGCAAAACACGATTTTCGGCTTTTCCGCTGGTCCTGGTCTTCAGGAACTACAGCTTCATCGTGAGCTTGTGGCGAGAGACAGGAGGTGAGGGCGAGTGCCCGAGCCTCTCACGGTGCATGGCTGCAGCAATCAGCCAGGACGCTCGACTCCTTTCTGCCCCTACCAGCATAGCCAGCCAAGAACTTTGTGTTTTCAAGGAGATGTGCAACCGGCTGCCTTTATGCCACGAGCCGAGAGAGTTGTGGAGTACTCGCTGCAGCTGAGAAGTTGCAGCAGAGGGAATTCTTTTGTCATCTGCAGTGTCCAAGGCATCCGGAGTTGAGGAAAAGCCCTTCTTGTTTCTTGGGTTCTAAGTTGTGAGCTAGGTCTAGGTTTGATTTGGAATTGAACAGACCTGCCCAGGTCACCCGGGTCAGGTAGGTGGCCTCTGGTCGTGCTGCCTCTGCAGTAAAAAATGCAATGTGAAGGCACATCGTGCCCAAAAGCTCAAGGCCCGCACAACGCTGCACCTGACCTTAAAACAGGAAGAGCAGCGACGTGCGCAAAGAGCTGGGCAGAATGCTCAGCAGCTTCCGTGAAAGCGTGTGGAAGAACAACATGTTTCGTGGCGTGATGACTCTTTCGTTTTCTCGTGTGCACATTGGCGCGAACATGGTGCCAGTGTGGGCCCGAAGATCAAGCTCAGCTGTGTTTTGCAAATGTGCATCAGGTCCACTGCGCCCTCATTGTGCAAGATTTGTGTTTGCGCTAGCTGCAATAATTCGTGAAGCTATTTAGATGTGCCAGGATGCCAATCGCGCAAAATGAGCAGCTAAGGGATGGCTGCGAGTTGAGGCCACCTTCCAACGTGTGACACCAAAGGTGCCAACGCAAAATTGACCACGCTTCCCGTTCCAACCCAAGCCAGCAAGATTTTTTCTTGAGTGTCTACGTTCAACTCCCCAGCACTGCAGTCCAAGAGCAACCACGACAGCATCAAAACACATGCAACCCCTAGCAGGCGGATCGACTTCTGCAGCTGGGGCATGCGGTTTGAACAGAGCAGAACGGATAGTAAAACTCATCAGCACGAGAAAGCAGAAGTGGATGGCAGTACAGCTGCAGGAATCAAGGTCTCCCACCGCAACAAAGGCCAGCAAGCCTTAGCCAGCAGACGTGGGTAACGTCGTTGCATTGGAGCAGAACTAGAAATTCGGACCTGCGATTGGAAGCCTTGCTTTGCTGGGAAGGTCGGAAGTTGGGGAATTTGGCCTAGTGCAGCCTGCATGCTCGCATAATCGCAGGACACAAAACCTGTGGATTCTTTACAGTAATGAGGCGGTGCTTGTCTTCCACGAGCAGCCGCCATGTTCCACTCACCATGAAGCAGCTTGTGGGAACCGCCAGCTACCAGTTTCAATTGCAAATGAACCTTCAAAACCTGTGGGGCCGCTCTTTCCTAGACGCTGCACTCAGGAAATGGCCATGATACAGCACGCAGATGGGGAGAGGGAAATACACAGGAACACTAATAGCAAGACTTCAGTCTGCTTTGAGTAGCGGAGAGGCCCATGTGCTGAGTCGCGGCAGTCGATGTTGCAGTGTGTGCGCAGCATCCGGGTCCTCAGCAATGCGCTGTACCAGCGCGGGGCTGTGCCCTAGTCCCCCGAGGATAGGAGGAGGGCAGAGCTGGGTCGTGAGACTTGCAGAGCAGGAGAGGGAGAGGAAGATGAGGACGGAAGGTGGACAGAGAGAAGCTGCATGATCTCTTGCAGCTGTTGCTTTCGCAACCCCCTGGGCCCAAAAAACGCAGCATGCGCTCACATGTGCTCATGCGCCTGGGAGAGCTACTGAGGCCGCTTCGAGCCCGTGCTGCGCCAATGTCGACCCGATTGCCACGTTTCGCAATCCTCGGTGCCGTACCGGTGCCTCGGCGGATCTCGGAGCTAGGACTCTCAGAGAGCTCTCAGAGAGTCTTAGTCGTCTCTCATAGCAACATTTGGATTGACCCCCGTCTCCCAACTCAAATGCTATGGCACCAACTGCGCAAGGACTAGAACCTGCTATTTAGCTCGGCCTTGTACTCCAGTTTGAGGCTGCGTCCATGACGGTCCACTGTGATTTGTCTGGGTCGGACTCCTCTTTTTTGTCAGGATACAGAGAGGGAAATCACATTCTGATACCGACGTAGATCCTATTGAAGAGTTCCAGTTATTATTCATATTGCTCATGATGATGGGTACCCTACCGCCGATTGTCTGACTTTGGAGTGCAAGGCTGGTCACACCAAATGCCATGGTTCATCAAGCATCAGTGCATGCAGAGGCCGGGTGCGCAACAAGAAAATATTGCTGGAAGATGCTGCAGTATCCACCCTGACAGCCTGCAGTCCCGAAGGTCTACGAATTCTCCTTGCTAACACATGTAGCTGGCACATACTATGGCGCATGGGCCTCCAGTTGCAACAACAAGTCGCAACCTACATTTTGTTCGTCTGAGGCAGTGAGTGTTCTCCGGCCTGGGGCATTCTATGCCTATTGGTACAACAACCCTCAGCGCTCAAAGCGTGTCTTTGCAGAAATGCTTCGAGGCTGTCCGGGCTCTCCGTGAATGGTTCATGCTTAAAAAGCTGGTGAATCATTGCTGCGGAGGGCCATTGGACTTGGACTGGGGCACATCCGGCCCTGGGGGCACACTGCCAAGCAACAAGCACCTTGGCCATCTCAATTCTGGATGCTTCGAAGGGTTTGTTTGCGCCTCTAAGGTACTACCTACAGATCATTGGCTGGCTACGAGTCCCCACCACTGACAGGCACGGGGGTCCTGAAGGATAATTGGAGGAAAGCAGGAGCACAGCAGGTACACTCTCCAACTAACCTCTGACAACGGTGGTCGCGTCTTCCTGAACGGCACCGAGACAACGCCAAGCAGTGCTTCCGGCAAAAGCCTCCGAGATGTTCAGAGATGCGCAGATTTGAACAGAATGTGTGCTTTCGGCACATGCATCAGGTGTTGCGCGAGGTCGCCTCATCACCATGGAGATGGATCTTGTCAGAGGCCCCCTGCCCCAAGATCGCAGAAGCCTCCAAGTCAGCCCAAGCAGATTCCAAGGTTTCATCCCCATTGAGATCTTGCAGCTTGGCCCGTTTGGCAGAGCTAGAGCAATGACTTTTTCTTGCACCAAATTGCACCTCTGCAGCGAGCATCTTCTGCTAGGTATGATCACTGGACAGGGGAGACAACGCGTAACGTGGGTGCTTTCCTGAAGCTCAGCTTCGGAAGTGGCTCCGCACAGATCTTGCATACCTTGCAAGCAGACTCCATGTACTACGAAGAAGTGCACCTTGGCTGCAGAGCACGTTTTGGGAGGAGGGATGTGTCTTGACTTGAGGTTGCATCAGCCCAACAACCCTTTTGTGCACCTTGTGGAGCCCGCCATACCCGTCGTACCCTCAGATCGTGAGAGACGAGTAGAAAAGAGAGGGAGAGAGAGAGAGAGAGCCTCTTCAGAGAGAAGAACTTGTGCGAGTGCTGTGCAAGTGCAGTTTCTTTTTGTTGCTGCTTTTTCATTCTTTTTAAACGTATCTTCTCTATCAACTTCTGTCGTTCTGTGCAGGTGAGGAGCCTCCTTTCAACCAGCCGTGGGGCCGTGAAAGCCACAGCAGCACAGGACGAGTTTCGCAGCTTTGTTCCCGCGTATTTCACACGGCCATTATACCCTCTGTCTCATGTGCCGCTTAAAGGATGTTTTCCTCCGCCTGCAGTCGGCCGATGCCTTCGGCAACATCCAAACGCGTGCCTGAGTTACAGCAGCACACGCACAGAGTCAGTCAAAAAGGAAGATCTGCTCAGGACGAGACCCAGCCTCCTCCCTTCAGCTTCGTGAAGATGAGCTTGGCTTGGCGAGGCTAAGAGGACGCAGGAGATGGAAATTGTGGAGGGGTTGAATGTGGGAGGCGAGTTGTTTCGCTCCACAGCGGCGCCTGGGATGTCATCCTGGTTCCCGAAGGTGGGGAAAGTTTTTCAAAAAGGAGAGAAACTTCGAAGAGTGAAAAAAAAACGCAGGTCCCGTGGGGAGACATTTTCTGCACTTTCAGCTCTTCTCGGAGGCCGACGAGAAAAGAGGGTGAGAGAGAGAATGAGTGAGGAAGAGGGGTGGAGAGAGAGGGTGGGTCAATTTGAATTCTTCTCTCCAAACTAGGCAGGGCAGATGGGATCCCTGTTCCCAGTGGCCAACCACAGCATCCAGCCACAGCCTAAGATCCCTCCAAAGCTGAGCCAACGAACGAACCGCCCCTAGGCTGGAGCTGACAGTTGGCCTTCCCGACGCAGATCTGACCAGCCACTTGGGTGAAACGAGAATGTCCGTTTCATGGATAGAAATCCTCCTCGACTGTCCAGGCATCTTAGCGTTGTACACATGGCAAGAGAAAATGCCACAGCAATGGGTGCTCATGTTTTTGTGCCTAACAATGCCAGCAATCAACAGGCGCGTCTTGCGCTTGCAGTTGTACGCGGAGGCTTTTATGGGTCTTGGGTAAGCCTGCTGGCGCAATGCCACGCCGGATGGAAACGCGTGGGTTGCGCTACGGCGATGTTGATGCGGTCTGCGCAGGATTCAGGATCTGGTTCAGTATGCAAAAGTGTGCGTGCTTTGATGATGCTGCATCTGCTGTCGCAGCGTCTGGAACATAAATGGGCTATTTCTCATCCTCAACTTGAATCCCCCGGACCAAGCCGCAACCCTCCCTGCACGCTGAGGAGGTGGGCTAGCTTGGGCACGCTTCTCGATTTACGCAACTCACTCTGTTGGCATAGGTTATGGTAAAGTCTTGGAAGGTCCTCTGGTGACTCGGAAGGGTCGGGGTCGGGATCCTCGTAAGTGTCGTCCTTTTTTGGACCCTTCGATCCTCTTGGGGTTCGAAAAGTAGCAACAGTCACAGGGATCGCATTTTACAATATTTTTTTTTTGATCCTCGGCCTTGAACCTTCGAGCCCCAATCCTTGAAGCTTTCGCCATTTTCAAGGATTTTGTTTTTTGATCCTTATTTTGGTTTTGTCAGCCTCATACAGGACCACAACGCCCACGGACCACATCACATACAGAGATAAAACGGCTCCACCGCCAGACTGGTCCCAGTTTGTCCTCGACCCGCTTATTCTCCAACAATGCTACCAAACCTTTCAGGACAGGTTGGGAGGAGATTTGGCTAGACAGGTCGCTCTCGATGTCCGCGGGTTTTTGACGGTCCCCCCCTTACTGCCTGCTCTTCCCCCACCGCCCTCCCCGGACCCAGTTAGGTTTCAGAGATTAGACCAGTGCTTCACGCGACAACAGTGGCTAAATTCGGTCTGTTCTTGCAAGGCCGCTTTACATGCAGGCTTTCCCTCAGACCACTACCCGCTCATAACTGCTATTAAGGTCAAATTGAGTGCTAAGCCCCCAAAGGCCAGAACCCGCCCGAGAATCGCACCCCCTAATGACGAACAATTAGCCAGGTATAATCAACTCCTCAGAAAGGAAGACCAGGAGCCACAGGCTCCAGACCACACCGCAGTTTTCCACTTTTTCACGGATGGTGCAGGAACGAAAGGCAAGTGCTCCGCACGTACGCCGGCAGGGTGGGGTTGGACACTCCAAGGCGAGGACCCGGAAACCGGAGATGTGGACTGGTTGGACGCTCACGGGCTGGTGGAAACTAACGCAGACCACGCCGCCTACCTGGGTGCACAAGTGGGCTCTAACAACACGGGGGAGTTGTCGGGCATCCTGGAAGCGCTCCTCTTCGCGTGCGAGCGCGACCTAAAAAACGTGGTAGTCCACTCGGATAGCCAATGGGCCATCAATGTCAGCCTGGGGAAGTGGCGAGCAAAGTCGCACAAGACTCTAGTCAACCATATTCGGCAAATCATTAAGCGAAAGCTCATACGGGTCAAGTTGCAGTGGGTTAAAGGCCATAGCGGGCAGGTCGGTAACGAACGCGCAGACCGGTTAGCCGGGCTGGGACGGGACACCAGGGAAAGGTCAGGAGGGCGACAATTGGTTTTTAGGGATTTGACCACACCGCCCGCGCAAGTCACGGACCAACCTAACCAATTCGTTGCCAAGCTTAAGTCTGCCGCGGAAGTAGCGTTCAAACCTACCACGTACGCTCCTCGTACGCCATGGATCACGGAGGACACCCTCAAGGCATTGGAAGTATCCAAACGCGCAGAGGCTGCGAACGAACCCGACGCCAAAGATCAAGCGGAACATAGCTAAGCGCCTCGCACGCAAGGACCGTATCAAATGGGTACACGATCAGTTACTGGGAGATTTGGGGGCGGAACACTCCAAGGTGTGGAGCGTAGTGAAGCGTCAAAAAAGGGGTTTTGCGGCCAGAAAACAACATCTGGTAGTGGACGGTACCCCCATCCCGTGGACCCACCTTCAGGACACGCAGTGGGCCGATCGCACAACGCCGGAACAGTTAGCAGAGATTGGAGGTCGACCAGACCTCAGACCACAACGCACTAGCCAGGGCCCCGTAACGCTAGAAGAGCTTCAACAGGCGATAACTAGAATGAAGTCTCATAAGGCCCCAGGACCCGACGAGGCTCCAGCAGAGCTTTTTAAATGGCTAGATTCGCATGGTGAGGCTGCATTGTTGGACATATTTCAGGAGGTTTGGAACAAAGGGACCATTCCGCAGGATTGGAAGCATGCTTTGGTCGTCACCATATACAAGGGTAAGGGCTTGGACACGGACCCCTCAAACTATAGGCCTATATCGCTGCTCAACTCTATGTATAAGCTTTTTGCCAGCATCATTCAAACCCGTTTTGGCCAATGAACTTGATGATAAACTCCGTGCCTCCCAGTATGGCTTCCGTGCCAAGTGTAGCACCAGGCACCCCCTTTTCATCCTACGTCGGGCAATGGAGTACTCGAATATGACGGATAACCCTCTTCATCTACTTTTCCTAGATTGGAAACAGGCGTTCGATTCCGTTAACCACACCGCCTTACTGATCGCACTTAAGAGGTTTGGTGTCCCTGAAGATTGCCTGGGCCTAATTAGCTCCATTTACGATGCCCCAACCTTTGAGATCAAAGGCCTCAACGGGAAGGTCGCTCAGGGGGAAGTGGCTGCCGGTATTAGACAGGGATGCCCGTTAAGTCCCTATCTTTTCATCATGCTGCTCACGGTTATTCTGAAAGATGTAGATGATCTACTTAGACGTCAAGGTACGCCCACTAATACTTGGTCCATTAATCACCCCACGTTCGACGTTGAGTATGCAGATGATACTCTGCTTATAGGCCTGACCACACCGCAACTTGAGCAGATGCTAAGAGCTATTGAGACCGATGCCCTTTGTTACGGCATGAGGCTCAACGCCACCAAAACTGAGTTACTAATTAATGAGTGCTGCCCACCAGCGGAGATTCGTTTTGTTAACGGTGACATAGTTCCGACCACAACGCAGGCTAAGTATTTGGGTTCCATGGTGTCCTGGAACATGCCATTCCGCACGGCCTTCAAACATAGGTGCGCGCTGGCGGAGGAAGCATATAAGAAACTTAGGCTTGTTTGGAATAGCTCCCTGCCCAGAAGAGTTAAGCTACGTATTTTCCAGGCCATCTACCCGGCAGTTCTTACATACGGGCTTGACTCCTTCACACTGACGGACGGCCACCTTCAACAGATTGACGCCTTCTACTTTAGATTCCTCCGCAGAATTATAGGAACAAAGGCCTCCTTCTACTCGCGAATCCCCAACTCAGAAGTGTATCAACAAGCTAACAGACCAAAACGCCCATCTGAGTTCATTCAGGACGCCCAGTTCAAAATGATGTATGAGGTATTCTTTTCCTCTGACACAGACCCCATACACAACGTTGTATTTGAGGTTTGCCTAAAGGATCGCATCACTCAGAAGGGTAGACGCAGAGGTAGAAGCATTCCGTATTGGCTAGTGGTTACAACCAAGAGATACTTTCCTCACGTGTGGGAGCATGACCACACCGCAAACAATAACTGGAAGTACGTTCTAATGTCTAGAGAGATGCGGAACTCTCTTGTTTCTGGAGAAGCGCCAAAGCGCGCGCAGCAGTCGCGCGCACGGCACTAGCAAAAATTTTGGTTTTGTGTTGATCACTTTTTCTTATGAAGAAACTCCTTATTTGTTTTTTTTTGATCCCTCAC